GTACTTTACAGCCCTGTAGCTTGAGTGCTATGCGCACCACCACATAAACACATACACACACATCTGCCCCACTTCTGACTGTCCTCCCCCCCCCCCCCCCCCGGTCCTAGAGTGTTTGGGATGTTCCGCCAAGCCAGTGACCGAGAAGCCGTCTATGCCTGCTTCACCTTCTCCCACTGGCTGGTGTATGCCAACAGTGCCGCCAACCCCATCATCTACAACTTCCTCAGTGGTGAGTGGGCTGGGCAGGCAGAGTGACGGAGGGTGGCAACAGTCTCCAGGACAACAGTCTCCCCATCCCCAATCTAAGCCAAATAAAGGGTGGTGGGGGAGGAGATACCTGCTTCTTTCTGGGGATTAGGACCCTGCTCTGGGAACTCCCACTCAGGGGGAAGACCTGGCCCCACCCAGGAGTCTTGGTCTGAGTGAGAGACCAGCCACACTCCCAACAGTGGACAGAGAAAGCTGATCAGTGCCCGGGACCCAGGTTTGCAGATTATGCAGACCAGTGAGTGTGTGGGAAGGGCAGGGGCTAGGCCATCTCACCTCCACCCCTGCCCAGTGCATGCACAGCAGCACCTCCAGTCGGTGTCTGGTTAACACAGGCTCCAGGGGGAAGAGGGCCTGAAGGGATGGCTGCATAATCATAATCGATGCCAGGGGGAAGGAAGGAAGGGAGGGTCACCAGCAGGGGCAACCCAGGGCGGGGAGAGGGCTTCCCCATGCCCAGCTAGACACACACTGGCAGAGGGGCCAGAATGTGGGCGCTACGCTTGGATCCGCCCTCCTCCGGCACTGGCCTTCTCGCTCTCCGCCTCCCAGTCCCCCACCCCGACCCCGGCCTCCTTTCCACTGTCCCACAGCTCCCATCTCCTCCGTCTACCTCCCACGCTCAGGGTGGTCATGTACCCCATCACCCCCGGGCTCAGAAGAAGTGTAGCTTACCAAACCTCTGACTCTAGGATGAGGTCTAAAGAACTGGCCCTGATGACTGTTCAAGTCTGGACACAAATATTCTTCAAGAAAAGGTTGAAAGGGACCAGGGGTCAGTATTATAACCCTTATGGAGACCCAAGAATTACTCAACAAAGGCCGGCCGGCTGGTTTCCAGCTCAGAGAACAGAAGAGATGAGAGGACACTGCCGCGCGTTCCTCTAGCTGATCTCCAGTCACTGAACACCTGTTGTGTGCCTAGCCCTCTGCCGAGCATGAGAGAGGCTGGAGGGGGGGGTGATGAAACATGATCCGGCTTTCAGTTCTAGACAGAAACCTGTTTCCCTGGCGTGCTCTGGCTGGACAAGGTGGCCGTGGTACCCCTTCCTTCCCCACTCTGTCCTCTTTAAGCAAAGGGCTTTGGCATTAGAACCGGGTCCAGCTTCTGGCTAGGTGACGGCGGGCAAGCCACTGCACCTGTGTGCGTCTCATCTGTGAAGTGAGTGTAAAGGCCCCAGCCTCCCAGGGTGCTGGGGCGACCTGGGGGTCACGGCTCAGGCACCCGGCACAGTGCCTGTGATGAGGGCTGCTGCTGTCGTTTTTCAGTTTTCATCACCATGGGGCAGAGGTGGGAAAAGCCTAGTTCACCTGGGGCAGTGAACCCCAAGCCCCTCCATCAGCACGCCAAGGAGGCAGAGGTGACCTGAGGCCCCTGAGCCAGACACCACGTTTTGAGTCGGGCTCACAGCCAGTGTGCAGTCAAGGAATCAGATTAAAATTGGCTTTCTCCTTGGGAACCTGCTCTGGGGCCTCTGTCCTCGCTCTCCCTGGCAGTGACGAGGTGGCCCTGGGGCTCTCTCCATCCGAGAGCTCTATCCTTCACTCCGCCCCCTCACAGGCAGCTTGGCTGGAGCTGCGTGGGTGTCCCCGGGCCCAAGGACCCTTCCTGCTGTATCCCTCCCCTTATGGCTGTCTTCTGTCTCCCAACCAAGGCAAGTTCCGGGAGCAGTTTAAGGCCGCCTTCTCCTGCTGCCTGCCTGGCCTTGGTCCCTGCGGCCCTCTGAAGGCCCCCAGCCGCCGCTCCTCTGCCAGCCACAAGTCCTTGTCCTTGCAGAGCGGGTGCTCCGTCTCCAAAGTCTCAGAGCACGTGGTGCTTGCCAGCGTCACCACAGTGCTGCCTTGAGCCCTGAGCAAGGGCTGCTCTGGTGGCTCCAAGGGGTGAAAGCTGTTCGCTACTGGGCTGTTCCTCTGGCTCCTGGGGGACCAGACCCCACTCCTTGTGGAAGGACTGCTGGATGCAGTGCGAGGCCAGGACTCCAGGCCTGGTTTTCTACCTGTTTGACTCTGGGCCAGTCACTTCCCTTCTCTGAGCTGTGGCCCCTAAACAGGATTGATGTGAGGATTAAACAAGCTCCAGAAAGTGGAGAGCTCTTTGTAAACTGTAACGCGTTGCGGACAAGATTATCGCTGTATCTCTCACTTGGCCATACCCCAGTACCATCCATCCTCATCATCCTTCAGAGCTTGGCGTTCTTCCCAAAGACCCCTCTCCTACCCAACTGCAGGCCTTCCCTAGAGTCTGCTGGAAGGGCCCCGGCAGGCACTTGCACCCGGCCCAGTGGCTGCCTAGAGCCCAGGCTCCACTCAGCCAGTTGCTCTGCTGCACGTGTGAACTAATCTGGGCCCAGCCCTTCCCCTGTAGGAATACAGTCCTGTGTTCACCAGGTGCCGAGTACACGCACTGCAGACTGGACCTGTTCGGCTTTGTGGTGTGATAAAACACTTTCCATGTGGCCATTTGGCATGGAGGCCAGCAGCCCGAAGCAGTTGTAATTAAAAGCCTGGCACTGAATGTTCCCTTTCCTTGTCATTGCACAAAATCTGTGCTGCTTAGGTTAGGAGCGAGGCAAAGAAGGTGGGGAAGTCGGTGCGGGGGTGGAGGTGGGGGAAGAAGACAAGGCAGCACTGGAATGCTATGATCTGCTGACTCCTCCCCTCTCCCATCCCCCAACACACTGGATCCCGGATGGGCTCCCAGCCAGGCCTCAGAGCACACGTAGTGCTGCCTCTTCCTGCAACGCCAATTCTCTGATGCCTGGGACCTCGGTCCTTGGCACATCTGTCTGCTCGCTGGCCTGTGGAAATGTAAGGGGGTTCGGGTGGGCAGACAGCAGGGTTAATACCTTCTTGGAAATCAGGGCTAGCATTTATTATTCCCTATGAATTCACAGGATAAAAAGGGAAAGCAAGATTTGATGGGATGTGTTCTATCTGCAACCGAGATGATTAGAGGGCTGCCAGAGGCCCTGATCCTTGTTGCCAGAGCAGGAAGTGGAACAGTCTGCAGTGCTGCTCTGCTGAGGAGCGGGAGACATCTGGCAGAGGCCAGCCCAGCCATGTGCACCACCGGGTCTGCTTAACCTGATTAATGGAGCTGCAGGCTCCTTCTGACCTCACCTGTCAGGAAGCGGGGTGAAACCATGGTCCTGCCAGGGGCCCAGCCCAAGGATGCTTAAGCATCCCTCCTCTCAGGCACCACCAGGGCAGGTGGAAGGTGTGGTCTGTCAACCCACTCTACAGATGATTCACCAGCCCTGCTCTCGTGGACATTTCCACAGATGTGCAGTTGTGGCCAGGTCAGCTGGGCCTATTCCAAGCTCCTGCTGGCCTCAGGATCCAAAGCTGTTTGTCAAGTTTATAGCCAGGCTTGGAGGTACAGCACACAGAGTGAGGTGTGAGGGCTGGCCCCCAAACTCAGAACCAACCCACAAAGACCAACCTGGGTCCTGGGCTCCTCAGCCCCAGCTGAGCACAAGGCTGAGAGACTGACTGGCACCATTCTAACGATGGGTTTCAGTCAATACTTGGCTTAATGGGAACAAAGGAACAGCAGAAGCTTCCCTTAGTGGCAGCGGTCCTACTCTATTCTCTGCTGGTTGAACCCAGTGCCACGGTGAGCCTTGGGCCTCCATTTGGGGGACTCAGATGAACTGAAGAAAATTCAGGGGAGGTGACCAGGATGCCAAGGGGAGTGATGCTCAGTGAAGAGATGCTGGAGAGCCCGGGAGGACTTGAGGGAAACGTGGTGGCGGGTTCCAGGTATCTAGAGGGCTGGCATGCAGAAAGGGGTAATGTATGTTCTGGGTGGCCCGAGAGAGAAAACCATGGCCAATGGGTGGTGTAAGGTGTAAGGATTTGGAATCCACATCAGGAAAAGTTTCTAGGCGTCAAGGAGGAAATGGGCTGCCTAGAAAGGCAATGAGTTCTTTGCCACTGGAGACTGGCAAACAGAGGCTGGACTCACAGTGGGCATGGAGGCGATTCTAGCTCTGGATGGCAGCTGGCCTCTGGGAACTGGATTCCATCTAATTCTAGGACTCTAGTACTACAGAGATTGGGGCTGAACTGGCTGAGCCCGATATACCTGCTGGGCCTCACTGAGCTGCCAAACTGCCATAGCTTCTTTTCCCAACCACCCACTGCAGGGAAGGGAGCCCCTCAGAGGTCCTGAAGTTCTTATCTTCACCCCCCAAAAGCAAAAGGATTATCACACCATTACCTATGATAAGGCCCCCCAGGCAAACCAGAATGTCTGGCGTCTTGGCTTCTGACTGACATTTTGTCAGCTCACTATAGTCAGTCGGTATAGAATGTTACCATGCTGCTCTGAAGATCCACAGGTGAGTACAGGTGTCCAGGCTTCCCAAAAAAGAGGAAACGTTATGACAATAAATGCAGTTTGGAAGATAAAACTACGGCTTGAGATAATAGAAAGGCCATGCTGTAAAAAGCTTGGGGTGGCTGCTTCCAGCCCAGAACGCCAACTGTTACAAAACAGTCGCTTCTTGAGCTGACCCTAGGTCCCTACCTTTCAACTTGACCCAACTTGACCCTGGTAAATGAGAGCAGCCTCACGTAGACTGCGTCCACCTGAGCTGCTTCTTTCTGCTTGGCATGCTATACATATAGTATGTACTTAAACAGTCACTGAATGAAAGAATAGATTAGTGGCTGAATGGGTGAGCACATAAACCTGTAGCTGGGAAGGTGTGATGGAAAACGTGGAACCGAGTTTTATCCTTTTATTGAAGCTTACAGTTTCACTGAACTTTTGGCCCCAAATGAAAAAAACAAATTAAAAAAAAAAAACATTGGCAGTGGGAGGTGACAACCGTCCCCTGGGGACTGATGCCACGCAGAGAATGGTGGGCAAGTGAGGGGTCTGAGCTGCAGAAGGCAGATTGTCCAAGCTCCCAGGGCAGGGACAGTCCCCAGGCAGTCAGAAGTTAACACATACAGATGGGTGGGGGTGAGGGGTTCCAAGCCACTGGTCCCCTGGGCAAATCTCTCTCATGCTTGGTCAGATTCCACTTTGGAAAACCTGGGTTCATCTGACGGGACAGCATGGGCGAGGGAACACAGGTGCTAATGGTAAGAGGCCGATGAACACTTACCACTGGCGTCGGGGCCCAAAAGGGAACACTAAAGGCTGGAGCCCAACCGACCGGACATTAACTCCATTGCAATGACTGCCGTCACCTGCTGCAAGGCAGTGCCACTTAAATGCTCAGAGCCGTAAGGACATTCAACTTTCGGTCCTCTCCTACGTCAGGCCCCTACCTGTGTGGCCTTGCCCAGGGCCCCACTATTTGGTGGCTATGACACAGGACTCTTAGCCCTCTTAGGGAACCGTGCGGCATCAGGCAAAGGAGACTGTTTCTCTAGGAGGGTCAGGAAAAGAGGAGAGGCCCATACGCTTCTCCCACTATAAGGAGCAAGGAAAGGTCCCCTGGTGCACGCCACTCTCTACTAACGGGATGGGTCATAGCATCCGAGAAGCTGTCATGGTGACGAAGTCTTCGAAGTTGAGCCGGATGTTGCCCTGTACAGCTGTGTCCTTCTCCCGAAAGGCCTCGGTCAGCAGCTGCAGCTGCGTGCACACCTGGATGAAGCGGTCAAGCTGCATGGCAGGATTGGCAGAGCGCGGGCAGTAGCGGGAGACCAGGAGCTGGGTAAACTGGGGGCTCAGGTTGTAGCCCATTTGGGACAGAGCTGGAGAGGAGGGACACACAGAGGAGACACAAAACCCTGTCATGAGCACTGCCACCAACAAAGCTTCAAGGGACTTTGCGGGGATCAGCGCAGGAGCAGAAAGGGGACAGAAGTCCTGTGGGTCTGTCCAAGATGGCAAGAGCACAACAGCGGCTCTCTCTGGATGCCCCCCTTAGCTGGAAGGCCGCATTCCTCTTTCTCCAAATCTCCTGTCTGTTCAGTCAGGGGCCTGTGGGGGTCCCAGTATGACCCCAGGGTATCTGTGCTCGTCTCTGACTCGTCTGCGTTACAGACGGAAGCCTGAGCCCCTTGGGACCACCCTGCCCAGGGCGGACGTCAGAGGCAGTGCAGCAGAGGGGCTACGGGGCTTGCTCCGGAGTCACTACAGCTCCTCCTGGCAAGTGGTGTCACCTTGCTAATCCTGTCTCATCATCTCTACATGGGGATAATCTTTAATCCTGTAGGTTGTACTATGGAGGAAAGGAGACCATGTAAAAGCACTTGGTACAGTGCCTGGTACATAATATGCACTCAGTAAGTATTACCTGTTAAAAATAATGAAATCATCATCCTCTCCCCAGGCAAGGCTGCTGGGCAGTTCCAAGGTCACAGCCACCTGCTGCTGCCCGTCCCTCCCTGGGAGGCTTCCTTCCTTCCTCTCTGCACAATCCACCAGCTCAGGCTAGAATGTCAGCTTTAGCCACGTGGCCCTTGGGCCAGTTACCTACACTAAACCTCAGTTTTCTCATCTGTAAAAGGGCAATCATAAGGGACCCTTCATCTAAGGGTGGAGAATAATAAACAGAACCTATCATGGGCAGAATGAATAATGTAACAGATTAAAAGTACTTATTACAGTGCCTGGCACATGGCAAGCGTTCATTCAGTAAATGTTAGTTTTGCTGTGGTAATATCGCCCTTACCACTATCCATGACAGGACCCCGCCACAGTAGGTGACCGGTAGAGGTCATCTCCCTTCCGTTCTACCAGGGTGTGGATATGGTGAGCTCGCCTCCATCCACAGAGCTCCCTAGTCTGATTGAAATCCATGGCCAGGGCAAGAGGCTGGGTTCCCTGAGAAGCCCTTCCTCCCACCCAGGTGGCAAAGATCCTTGTCAAGTTCTAATCGCCCTACTAACCACCCATCCTCTAGTCAAAAGTGGAACCAGACCTGGAGTCGTGGCTTCAACTGCTTTTTCCCAACTGCAACTTTTAGAGTGGTCTGGGTCCCAGAGTTGGGAAGGAAACTGCCTTCTAGCAGAGCTAGCAACAGAAGCCATCTTTCTGAGCCCTCTACAGCGGCTGCATACTAGAAATGAGACAGAAAGAGCCAGGCAGGCCACACGTACTGGTCTCCAGTGCCCTGGGCGGCTGAGCTCCCACCCCCAAGGCCCCCTGCAGCCTGGGCCTGTCGCACCTAGCACGGCCAGGATTCCCATCACCAGGAGTCCAGCCCTGACCCTGGACGCAGGTGCCCCCTTGCCCTGCTCCATGCCCCAGCCAGATCACCAAAGGGGTGGGGAGTGGGCCTGTGCTGAGGGCAGCATTTTGCAGTGCAGTCGGACATTTGGTATTTGTTGAGAAAGGCCCTTGCTCTATGCTAGGGAGTAGAGAGGAAAGTCTAGCTCTGCCTGTGCGGAGTCCCTGCCGGGCTCTCACCTTGCTGCAGCTCTGTGTAGCTAATGGAGCCCGAGTGGTCCCGGTCATACTGCTGGAAGAGGTTCTTCCATTGCTGGATGAATTTCCACAGGGCCGAGAAGCCGTAGACATCAATGCGACCCGACTTGGTCTTGTCAAACATGTCTTGGGGGGAGGGAAAGGAGGGAAGGAAGGCTTCAAGATTGAGGGCCAAGGGTCCTTGGGTACCACTGAGGCAGCCCGTCTCCCCAGGCTGGAACAGGGGACTCCACAGAACCACAGGCTTGAGTTGAGGCCCAGATGCCATACCCGAGACATATCCTCATCAAGTGCCACACCAGCCCCCACCCCTACCAGAACTGCATTTTCTCAGCAGGCTTGGCAGCTGACCTCCTCCCTGCCATCTCCTACCAGAGCATGGAGTCCCATTCTGCAGAATGGGAAACTGAGTTAGCCTGTGACTCAGCACAGCCTAGAACTTGAGAAAAGATACGAGGGAAAGAGCTCTCAGCTCAAGGAATCTCATCTTGAACCCAGTTTCCTGCCTGAAATCCTCCCTGGTCAAAAGACTTCTCCTCAGAATGGTCACCCATCCATCTGCTATCACATCAGGTGGCTCTGCCCTAGCCTGAGCCCACGAGGGAGGTCCAGTACTCACTTATCATCATGAGGCACGTCTCGTCATTGAACGAGGACCAGTTGGAATTGACCAGCGCCTGCTTCAGCTCCTTGATGGAGATGTAGCCACTGTGATCACAGTCCACTGACTGGAACCAGGAATAAGCTTCAGGGTCCACGTTAGGAGGGGCGCCACCTGCAGGAGGGGGTGCAGCCCGGGGAAGTCAGAGGCTGGTCTCAAGGCCAATCCGCAGAAAGGCTGGTCTCTGTGCCTCCCTGGCTACTGGTTCTCCCTGCCCACAGAGCCTCACAAATTCACTCCCCACACCCCCGCCCCCCACCTTCCATCAAGCTGACATCCTTACTCTGACGGAGTATACCTCCGCTGTAGACTCACAAGTATTTGCGGTTAATTTCTACTCCATGAATCTGTCAGGCTTTCCCCATAGTTCTCCAGTCACGTCTCTATTTGATTTTCAGCTTCTAAAGAGCAGTGACTTATCCAGCTGATTAAGAATTCTCTGAAAAGAGATTATCTCTTCCCCACAGACTGAGGACACAAAAATGCTTGCTGAGCACCTAACACACAAAGCCCAGAGACAAGTATTTGAGTCCCAGCAGCAGGGGGCTCTCTGCGGGGGTAACCAGGTCTGATTGCCCTGGCACAGTGCGGAGTTGACACACTCTCTCAGGAGCTGCCCGAGTGGGGTGGCCACGGAGCTCCATCTCTCTCTCTGCGATGTGTGAGGTGTACCCCTATCGCCAAACCTCCCCAGAGACATCTTTGACTCCTCATCCCACACATGCAGAGCTGCCCAGTTCTGTCGGTTCCCACACAGGTATCTCCCCCTTCTCTCTGCTCCTCCTGCGCCTGTCCTGGCTCAGACACTTCTCACCTGGACTGTTGTAACAAATCAAAAAGCCTAGGAACATAATCCTTACAGCTACTCTCCACCACCCTTCACCTGCTACCGAGTAACATTTGTACAATTGAACTATGTTCTCACCAATTTCCCCCCAATTCAACTCAAAACTCTTCAAAGGCTCCCACTGCCTATAAAATGAAACCCAGCATCCTTAAAACAGCATTCCAGGCCCCCCTCCCCACAATGGGGTCCATTCCTGTATGCCTCTCCCACTTTGTTCCCACTGTGCCTCTCATACCTCCGGTCCAGCCCAGCAAAGCATTACACTTGCTCTTACCCACATCTGTACATTTGCACCGCAGAGCCTTTACTCACCCTGTTCTGCCTCAAATCTCTTCTCCCTCATCTCTTTGCATCCATTTCCCGTCCACCCTTCAAGACCCAGATGAAAAACCCTCTTCCTTCCATGAGCCTCCCTCCTCTTCTGTCCCTGCACAGGCCTCCCTCCGCTCTCCTTTCTGCTTCTCTTTTATGGCCCTGCTCACTCCACTGGGCCCGTGCTTTTTCCCACCACCTTCCAGGTTAGACTTGGAGCAATTTGTGGGCTGGACCCCAGCCTAACTCATCTCTGAATCCCCAGGGGCTTAGCACAGAGCCAGACAAGGAAAGGGAAGGTGCTCAGTTCATGCTCGAGTTCGCTGCAGTTCAAGTCTCAGCTCCCCCATTTTGCACCTCGGGTTAAGTTATTTAAGTTCTCTGTGTATCGCTTTTCTTATCTGTAAAATGAGGACACAATAGCATCTACTTCATAAGGTTATTGTGAAGCTATAATTAACATGTGAAAACCCTTAAATCAGCACCTGGCACAATCTAAGCACGATGTAACGGCTGATTATGAGTGTTGTCATGGTTCAAATAGCTTTGCGTGTCTGTCAGGAGTACGGTAAGTAGTTTTGTGTGTATGTCAGCAGATGGAAGAAAGGATCGTTCACTTGGAAAGACACGCAGGGTGAGCTGGGGGATAGGGGAAGGGGTGGTGGATGGAAGTGGAGAAGCACAGGAGACTGTCTAGCTTAGGAAAAAGCCCGTTACACAGCATTGCCAAACCTGACTTAGGTGGCCACAGAAAGGGCGCCTTCACACAGCAGTACCAGAGCAGCTAAGGGCGGCTGTGCAGCACAGAAACCATCGCCCAGTCCCAAAGGTGAGGCCAGAGGTTTGCCTGACGGAGGGACTATCCTGACCTCCTTGGATGGAAAATCTAGGCAGACCTCACCTCCCTTTGAAAACAGCAGTTTCGCCACAGCGGAGTGAGGGCCACAGCCCCCAGAAGGACAGTCTTTGTAACATGTGGTCCCTGCAGGCTGCATGGGAGAGCTCGGGCTCTGGAAGCAAACAGCTCTGATACTCACTATGTTGTGTGACTTTAAACAAACTGTTTAATTTTCTGAGTACTGATTCTCCCATTTCTAAAATGGACCTACTTCCCAGGGTGGCTGTGATGGTGAAGTGAAATAACAGCAAAAGGAAGTTTTAGCAAAGGGCATGGAATGTGTGCAGTCCCATTTCCATAGAGGAAGGGATATTTAAACTGGGTCTGAAAAGATGAAAAAGAGCTGTGAGGGGAAGAAAAGGCATGGGGCAGAGGCACAGAGTGTGTTCAGAGGCTCCAAGGGGTCTTCAGTTGCTGGGAGGGGGGGCAATGCAGGTGAGGAGGCTGGAAAGGCCCTTGGGGTCTTATGTGCCTTTAGGATCTTACCTGTGGGTAGTGGGGCACCTTTAGTGGTCAAACCTGTCTTGCAGAGCAGTGGTGCTCAAATCTTAGATCCTGGATTCAGGTGGAGCCTCCCAGGTGACCAATGCAGGTGCTACCTGGGTCATGCTCTAAGCAGCCCTGCTCCAGGGGGCCTTTAGCTGCACTGGGGCAGAAGCAGTGGTGGTCAGGCATGAGGAAGCTGCAGAGGGTGGGCAGCTAAGAGCCTGAGGCACATCTCTCCTCTGCAGCCCCAGAGATTATCTCTGATCTCAGGCCCTGGAGGCATAAGCCTCACAGCCAGGGGCTCCTTTCCCTGTGATGACCTCATGTAGGCCCAGAGACAAGATTTTTAAAGGATGAGGCAATCCACCATGCAGCTGCTGAACTGAAAGCAAATGGCCAGAAGCTCTGGACTCTGACAAGATAAATCTTACCAGCTCATGGGGTTTAGAACCCCTGAGGTTTGAACATATCTCAGGGCTTCCTGCCTGGGTCTGTGTGCTAAGACGCTGCAGCTTTCCAGCAGTGCCATTCGCTGGAGGCCTCCAGGTGCCCCCGAGTGGCTCCAGGATGCCCTGCTGTGGGCTCGGTCCCCAGGGAGCTGGGCACTCACTTTCCTTGACCCCTGTCTGAGACCACTCAGGCATTTTCAGTGAGCCCAAGGCCCCCACCCAAGATTCTCTGCCTCCATTGAATCACCCAGCCCCCTCACATCCCCCATCGTGTCCAGTACCTCACCGTTAGTATCTCTGCTCTTTATCCTTCCCTTGTCTCATCCCCTAACTCTCCTGCCCGCCTCGGCATCTTTCAGTGGGAAGGCCCTTGCCACATCTGCTAGCACATGAAATGCTGAATACCTCTTTGCTAAGAACACCCGAGTATGAGAATATTAAGCCCTTCCCATGTGCCCGCGTTTACTTGCACCTTCTCATTTAATCCTTATTGACAGTCTTGTGAGGTAGACAGTCACCCATTTTACAGATGTGGACACTGAGGCCTAAAGAGGTGAAGTAATTTGTCCAGGTCAGTAAGCAGTCTGATCTCAAAAGCTCGAGCTTTTAACAACTACACTATTTTTACTTTCTACATATATTGATCAGTATTCCTTACACAGAAAGCGGGCCTCTCCCCATGCTAGGCTTTATTACTGTCTCTAATTATTTGCTAATCTCTACTCCGGGCCCCCCGCCCCCTCCTATAAGAGCATTCTACATCCTCTCCATTGCTTGGTGGCTTGCAGAGTCCCTCCTTGAGAGAAGTATCCATTTCCATCCTATTGACGCCAGGCTTGACCAGGGGATGTCAAGGACACGAGCGGAAGAGATAGAAAAGTACTTGAAAGCAGAAGCTTTAAGAGGCACCATGCATTCCCGCTAGCTCTGCTGCTCTTTCTTGTCTGCCACAAGAACAGCATACCCCAGATACAGGCTGCGCCTCCAGCCTGGATCCTGGAAGGAGAAGACATGTGGAGCAGAACCTCAGCAGCCAAACCCACAGCTGCTGACATGTAAGCCAGAGTGAGTACGTGTGAGCAAGCAACAGAAATAACTGTTTGTTGTTGTAAGCCAAAGAGACTCTGGAGTTGTTGTTCCCACAGCAAAGCTAACGAACAGACTCATTCTGCTGATGCAAGCTGCAGCTAGAAGCAAGATGCTAAGTGCCGGAGACCAGGCTGCCTGCATGTCCACAGGAAGGGCAAGGACGGGCCCTGGGTAACTCAGAACAAGGTCAGAGGAACCCGGAGCCCAAGGTCCCTACTTACCTACAGGAGGTCCCTGTCCGTAAGGCCCAGGATGCTGGGCGCCATAGGAATTTGGAGGTGGCTGACCATAGGGGCCCCCTGGGGCTGCACCGCCATATGGTCCTCCCGGAGCTCCAGAGGGGAGCCCCCCAGCGTTGGGGTGTCCATATGGCCCTCCACCAGCTGGTGGTCCATAAGGCCCTCCAGGGGCAGGGCCTCCTCCGTAACTACCACCAGGGGGTACCCCGCTGCCATACTGCCCTCCACCAGGGTAATAGCTACCCGGAGGGGCTCCGGGCGCTTGTCCTCCAGCTCCTGGGCAGCCCTGCAAGAAAAGCAAATTATCAGTCAGAATGATAGGGCCGGAAACGCGCCACAGTATGGCATCTGCCAGTTCGAAGGTACTGCCTGCCGCTGCCCTTCTTTCAAATGATCCTAGGGGCAGGGTTGGAATGACGACCCCATTACTCAGACAGGGTACCTGAGGCTTCTAGAGAAGAGTCAACCTCGCCAAGGTCACACCACCAATGCCCTGCAGTCGGGGCTGCAACCCGACCCTCCTGACTCCCCTTCCCTGTACGCCAAGGGGGCGCCACGAGGGCTGGGATCGTGTCTGGTTTGCCACTTGATCTCTGGCCCCCAGTGTAGAATGGATGCTCAGGAAATATTTATTGTATGAACGAGTAGGCAAGTGAATCAAAGAGAATTCCAAATCCTCACCCTGTGGTACCCTCATCTCCATCCGCAGAATTCCATGTGCAAAAGTGACTCCACCACATGGCCCTGACATTCTTCAGTCATAAACAATGTATTCATAGCCTGGGTTCATTCTTATCATGTCTTCCTTACTCTACTCCAGCTCATGATGCAAAAACAGTTCCTCATCCACACTCATGGCTCTGTGAGACAGGCAGGCAAGACCCTATCCTTAAGGCAATATAGTACAATGGTTAGGAGTCAAAAGAACCAGTTCAAGTTCAGGCTCTGCCACTGACTAATTGGTCTAATGACTTACCCTCTCTAAGCCTCAATAACCTATGCTCTACAATGGGAGCAGTAATAGTGCCTGCCTGCCTCCCAGGTTGGTATGTGAATGAAATGAGACCAGTCACATGAAGCAGCTGGACACAGACCCTGGCATAGAGTAAGCACTCAATACACATTAACTATTAATAATAGCACCTTTCTACGGAACAGGAAACTCAAGTCCAGACTGTGTGGAGGGGCTGGGGCCAGAATCCAGGTCTCAACTGCTGAGCCTAGGTCATTCGTACATCAGAGGATACAGGGGAGCATTCCCTCTTCTTGTCCATGTCCCTAAAACTCCAGCCAGGGATCCTTGAGGCTCAGAGTGTTCAGCTCCATCTCCTTAAATGGCCAGGAAAAGGCCTGGCAGAGCGTAGCCCCCATCATATCTGCAGACAGGCTGAGCTCAAAGGCACAGAAAGAGAGAGCAGCTGGGCCCAGGTCTGAGGATTGTGAGGATGGCACCATCCAGAAATGTTCTAGATCAGCCTGCAAGGCACCCCAATTGCCTAGCCACTGATAGCCCAGACTTCCTCTCTTTATTGTGTTTGGTAGCTTCTGGGACAGTTACCGTCAAGGCTAAGGCCAAATTTGCACTTCATCTAATGAGGGTCTGCTTGCTGAAAGGGAGGCTTCTTGAGGGAGGACAGGAAGCAGGCCCTTCCACCTTCCCCACTCAGCATCATGGGAGCGCAGCTGCTCTGGAAGCCGCCATAGCTAGTAGCAAGACTCTTCACAGACAATGAACTCACAGGCAAATCTCAATTCAAAACTCTCCTCTCATCAGCTGAGCTCATGACTGCAGGCTGGCAGCTTAATCTCTCTGGGCCTGTTTCCTCACAAGTAAAACATAACAATCTCTTCCTCATTGAATCGTCCTGCTGATGATAAGAAATAAAGGCAGCGAATTTAGTTGGCTTAATTTTTAGCTAAAATTAAATAAAAGTAAAAATTTAAAAACTGATGAACAAAAGTTGCTCTGGCTGAAGCAAGGCGGGGGGTCCAGAGCCCGAACCACGCGGGCCCCTCCCTTGCTAATTGTGTGGGAGCTCTGCTGCGCCCTCACTGACTCAAAAGACAGTTTGAAAACCATTCATGTAAGAAAAAAAAGCTCTTACAACAGTGCCTGGCATAAAGCAAGTGATCAGTAAATCATAGCTGCAATTGTTGTTATCATATTAATTATCATTAGCAAAGCCCTGGGCCAGGTAAACTCAGGGTGGGGGGACATAAAGGAGAGTGAAACATGCTGAAGGAGCTCACAGTTAACAGGAGGTACAGAAACATTCTCTGTAACATCTAACAAAACAGCGTAAGGAAACCGGTGTTTAAAATGGACGCATAAGCCATGTACCATGAGATCACAAAGGAGGGAGGGTGAAACGAGAAAGCAGCATCTGATCTGACTTAAAGACTTAGAGTCCCAAGGGAATTGAAGAGGGTGATGGGAGAGGTGCCGAGGAGGCCAGTCACCTCACTTAACCCCTTCAGCTTGCAGATGGGGAAACTAAGGCAGGAGAGGGGAATGGACTTACTCTTGTCAGACTGTGAGCGGGAGGCCGGGACACAGCTAGTTCACGCCTCACCCACACTCAAGCCCAATGACTCCCACTGCCTTCTGCCACAGCCTTCTTTCCTTAAGCAACAGGGCACAGGATTCCAGTGTAAGTTAGAACAGGGGGTGGGAACTCTGCAGAGCCTGGGCACACCCAAACAACAGGCTGGACACCAAGCCAGGAAGTAGCTGCTCCACAACTAAGCCATAAATCGTATCTGGCTTTGAGCACCGAAAGCACAGCCCTTCCCCCTGGGAAATGCCTCGAGGCCAACAAGGCCAGCGCTGCCAGGCAGATCTTCTGACCTTAGTGCTATCACGTTCTAGGGAGCAACTGAGCCCTTTCCTTTCTGCTCTGCATTAAAACCCGCCTGTGTACAGCTCACAAAGCGCTCTCACGTACACACAAACGCAGAATCCTGCCAACAATCCTCTAACAGAAAAAGGGAAGATATCAGTAGGCCTGTTTTCAGATAAAGAAAACGAGGTGTTACAAGTTCAGCAAGCAGTTACCAAACAACGATATTGTGGTAGGCTCCATGCTAGGCGTCAAAACTAAGTAGGGCCTGTCCTTGGGGAGCCCTCAGATAATTATGATACACTCTGATCAGCGCCATCAGAAGCATCTACTTAAATGCTATCAAGGAGGCATGGGCAGAGGAATTCATTCTGTTTGTTGAACGATAAATGAGCAATCAAATTAATACATTCATAAAGTGGGTCAAGGAAGGCTTCCTGGAGGAGGCAGGAGTAATAATGAAGCTGGCATTGAAGGATGCATAGGCCTTCTCTAGAAGGAAGGCAGAGGACATTCTAGACAGACGGGAGAAGACAGACAAAGGCACAGACCTATGAGCATGGAGCGCTCAGGGAATGGGCTTAAAAAGCAGGGGTCAGGGCCAAGAACAAAGTGTCAACTCAGAAAGGCAGGCTCTTTACACACTCTTTGTCCAAGTACCTCTCCTGCTGTACTTCAGTTAGCTGTGAGTTACTGGTGTCTTGGAGCAGTTTCTGTCTGTCTATGGTCTCCTCCAAGCAACAATGAGCTCCCCAGAGGCAGACACTGGGTCTCATTCATCACCATCCCCCAGGGTCCAGCACAGTGTCCGGCACCTGCAAACCTCCACAAATATTTGAACAAATGAATACCACTCTAAAGAGTTTGGGCTTTATGCCGGAGGAAACAGAGCACCATAGAAGGGTTTCCAGTAGGGGAGGAACATGATCAGAGCCTTGTTTAGAGAATTAACCAGCCTGGTGTGGAGGACAAGCTAGCTGGGGAGGCAGAAGACCAGGCACTGGGCAGGCGGGGCTGCAGCCAGATAGCAGACTTGGAGATGGAGAGAGCGGGGTGGGTTCTGAAGCTATTTCAGAGATAGGCTAGACATGACTTGGCAACTAATTAGGTTAGGGAAGAGATGGAAGGGGAAGTGAGGAAAGGGGTGTTTAGAATGACTCAGGTTTCTTGCTGGCATAAGAAGATGAAGGAAGTAGAACCACAAACGGAGGCAGAATCCAGGCTGGGAAAAGGCGGTTTCCAGGGTCACTGAGCTGTCAGTAAAGGTCTGAATCAGAAATGAAAACCAGAGTCCCTGGCTCCAGGTTCTTTTATATTACCCCATACTGCTAAGCCTTTTCAGAGATTTCCCAAGAGCATTTCATGCTGATCAATGCAAATCATGAAAGGAAAAAAAAAAACATGCAGGAAGAGTTCAGTAACCATGGTTTCCAAAGCATCTCAGAAATATTTGAGTGGGGGATGGGGCAATTAACATTTTTTGAGGTTCTGCTAGGTGTTTCCAGTTCAATTGGTTCTCACTGATCCTCAGTCCTGTCCTATGAGCTAAGTGCTATTATCCCCATTTTACAGATGAGAAAATTAAGATGCAAAAAGTTTAATGCTGTGCCTGCCACGACGCAGCTGCAACGGGTTAGGTGGGATTCAAATCAGGTCTGCATGACTCCATTCCACTTCCCCTCTGCTGTGTTCACCCAATAAATGAGTGGGCGTCTACCATATGCCAGTGCCAGGGACCATCCTAAATGTATCTGTCAAATATGATAGATTTCTATAGGGGGAGGGCTGAATGAGGTGCTCTTTCAGAGGCTTCAAGCTAGAAACCAGACAGACTCAGGAGAATCTTATTCTTTTTTCACTCCAGCACCTAGACCCAATTGGAGAGCCACAGGATTGTAAGAGATCCCAAATATCCTACAGACCAACTTCTCAGTCGATATTGGAATCTCTGTTTGCATTCCTGCAAGTGGTGGGGAGCTCACCCCATCCCAAATAATCCACTCAGAAAGTCCTATATATATATTTTTTGGCTCTGAGGGCTCCTTCTTCTACCTCCAAGACCGCTATGAAGCTTAGAGGGGTCAAAGGTTGATGAGGAAGAGAACAGGTTGCACTGCCAAGACAAGCCTGTGCTCCGGAGCTACTCCTTAATTGTCCGTTGGAGGTAGGTAGAGCGGTTAAACAATCACAGGACGGAGGAGTGGTTCGGACATTCACCAGCAGAGCCTCTTTAGATAAAGACCAGAAACCTGCAGCCCACAGTGAGCCAATAGCTAGCTCGTCTGTGCTGATACTCCAAATGTGCCCTCTTTCCCTTTGCTTCATCTCTCCTGAGTTGCAGACCCAAGTATCCAACCACCTCCTGGACCTTCCCTCCAAATCTAAACCCCTTCTCACGGTGCCCCATGGTAACAGCTCCAAAGCACAAATGAGAGAACACTCTTCAGTGGCTCCCTCACTACTCTCAGGATGAAGTTCTCACTCCCCAAAAAGGCATCTGATCCTTGCTTACCTGTCTGGTTTCATTGCTTACCCCTTTCCCCCTCTTCATAGCACTGGACTGATCTCCTTATATTCATTCCTCCAAAATATTGGTTTCTCTCACTTGCTTCCTGGCCTTTGTACATACTATTCCCTCTACTGGAATACCATTCCTTTCTTCATCCAGCTAACTCCTACTGGAGATTAAATTTTGAGCTTAAATATCACCTCCCTTAAGAGGGCTTCCTCTCCCTGAGACTATGCTAGGTATCCCTCCTGTGCTGTCCTAGTACCTTATACTTTTACTCCCACTTAATACTTATCACACTGACTTTACAATTATATATCTGTATTACTCTTCCACTTGGAGTATTTACTATATGCCAAAACACCAGATCAAGCACTTTACATGGACTATCTTATTTAATCTTAACTCTTATGACCCCATTTTAAAGAAGGGGAAACTGAGCCTCAGACTTTCCCAAGAAATTTCTGCAAGGAAATGGCAGAGCAGGGATTTGAAGCCAAATTTCTCTGGCCTCAGAGACCAAACTCTTAAGCACTGAAACCCATCAGGCTGACTCCCCCACAGGACCAAAGGGTGCTTGAATTTTATTACTCCAACACCCAATTCATGCTTGAGGACCCTGGGGCTGGAGGCAGTGGAAAATTATAGTTTTGACTCCTAAACATAGGATGGCAGGGGCCAGCCGAGTGGCTCAGTTGGTTAAGAGCTCGCTCAAGAGTGTGAGCTCTGAGCAACAGCAGTTCAATGCCTGGCCCGAGCTGAGCTGCCGCTGAGCTGCCAACAGGTGGCAGGATGGCTCAGCTTAAAAAAAAAAAAAAAAAAAAAAAAAGGATGTAATCCTCCAGGGCTACATGCTAGATGGGAGGGGAAGTGGCGCTAACAAGCATCAACACTTTACCTTTCTTGGGACACCACGGACCAGGATCTGGGCTGGTGGACAAAGGTATGATGGGGGAACAAAAGCATTGCTTCTATTCCAGACATGTTTCTTTCGTGCTCCTTTTCAGTATTTCACTGAGCATAAGCCCAAGGAACATGGCATGATAACAGAGCAGGAAGAGCGATGCCACCATGCGCTGGCACACACTATGTATTAGTAACATGCCAAACTCCCTAATGGCTTTATCATATTTCAGCCCTGAGGTATTAGTCCTTTTTTTACAAGTAGGAAACAGGCTCAGGGCCCTTAGATGGTTTGTCCAAGGGCATATAACTGTTAAGTAGTCGAATTAGGATTCTAGCCCCATTTTGTCTAACCTGGAAATTCACGCTCTTACTTTCTATGTCACTGCTTCTAGGACGCATACAAATTACCTCCAAAAGCTTATTAAAATGTAGATGCCTGGGCCTTTTCTAGGTGAAGAACAGGTTTAAGGTGGAACCCAAAAATGTGCTTTTTTAACAAGCTCCTAGGTGATTCTGATGCAGATCATTCACTGAGAAACAATGCTTATCGCAGTATTTTTCCAAACTGTGTTCTCAGGAATACTATTGTCACCAAAAGAGGACAAGATATTTAAAAAACAGACAAAAAAGTGGGTGTGTGTTTGGGGGGGGGGGATTCCATGGTTAAGCAAGTTTAATGAATACTGTATATTCTATCCCTCTCTGCATATTTATAATGTATTAACAAATTAAGAATTCTGAGATACCCTGTGAACAAGCTTATTCAGCTGTATTTAACAGAGTATTCCCCAAACTTATTTAACCACAGAATCCTCCTCTATTTGCAATACCCATTAACATATCATAAGACTCAGCAAATGCAATGGAGCTTGGGAAACACTGCCAGGTTATATCTCCTCCTAGCTCCAGCCAGTTGCTGGCCTCTTTCTTCCTACCTCTACTAAGTATGCAATGAAAGCAGTTCTAAGTTCTAGCCCTGTCTTCATCCCCTCACTTGCTACGTATGACCTTGGGCAAGCCGCTTAACTTTTTTGGGCTCCTTCTTCAGCTATAAATTGGGGGTAATACTCCCTGCTGTCATACCTATAGGGCCTTCAGGATTGAGATAATGGAGGTCCAAATACGTGTGATCTTGGGTATCTCAGGAGCCTTCTCTGGGCTCAGTTTCCTCCTTTTACAAGTGAAGAGACTATTTTGAGGGCCCTTCAGCACAGACTTTCTAGGAGTCTAGTGAAAAATCAAAATACTAAAAGGTAACACCTGTTACACTCTTAGTAGTACCAAAGGCTTATCAGCATCACTTCATTACTCTTCATAACAGCTCTGTGAGGTAGACCCTATTATTTGGCCCTATTTTAAAGAGGAGGAAACTTCAGCTGAGAATGGCAAAATACCTTGTGCAGGGGGGTTGAAAACTATTTAAGTGAAGGAGGCAAGGTGTGAACTTTCCTCTGACTCCAAACTGTACTTAATCACTCTATCATTCTGTCATCCAACAAAGGATTCTGGCCACAAAACCACCTTGCTGTGGTGGTTTTAACTGGATCCAGAGGGACTAGCAAGTGGGGAAGAGGCATTTGCTGACAGCTCTGGGGCCTGCCTCTTAACTGCCTGATGACTTCAGGTAAGTTCTGTCTTCTCTGGGTTTCACTTTTCCTATGTGTGAAATGGAGGTGTTGGACTAAGTCAGTAGTCAAACAAGCTCACTTGTGGAGCCTGCTAAAGCCACAGACTCTTCTGATTATGCGGATGCAGTATGTCACAGGTGTGTTTTTATCCGACGCCCCAAGTGATACCGACGGACCAGTGCTCTAAACGTTCTGTTGGCGTTGATGACCCCGCCCGGGGCCCCCGCGGGAGCCGTGGGAAGGCGTGGAGCCCAAGACAAGCCAGACTGAGTCCGTGGGGTCCAAGGTCCCCAAATCCTCACGTGCTCGACGTCAAAGGGGGCGCGACACGACCTCCCAGACGTGCAATCCTGCGTGACGTGAGACAGGAGCGACCGACCATCCCTTTCCCCTTTTCTCCCGCGCGAGACCTCAGCGTGGAAAGGGCACGGAGAAAGCGGGGAGAATGCAAAGCCGGGATTCCGGGCGTGGACTTCCAGAGACCCCTGCGTGAATTCGCCCGCCCCTCACACACTCACCTGCCCAAACGGATAGCTGGCCATGGCGACTCTGGTGACACACGTTGGAGAGGGCGGGGCTTCCCAGTCTCAAGCCCGCCCCCGCCAGGGCCTGGGGACAGGTCCGCTTCTGATTAGATGGTCGCGACTGTCAATCCTGGCGCATGGGTCGACGGAAGTGGCGTTATAGGGCGGTGGTGAGGTGACGGAAGAGGCGGGAGGAGTTAAGAATGGGTTGGCAATTTCCGGAAATTTTGTTCGCTCTACTGGTGCTGCTGTTCCTCCCTTTCCTGTGGTAGAGTAGGCACCAGAGCTGGTTAGGCCCGGGTATTCAGTAAGAAGCTTGGGTGGGGTGTTGCAGCCGTGGCCATGTTTTAACCTGGCAAATGGGACGGCATGATAGTGGCGTAGTTGCTGTCATTACTGCGAGTTTCCCGCGGGGGAGGGCCCAGGCGGTTACCATGAAAACGGGAAACCGAGCCCTTCTGGAAAAGATAAAAGCAGTGGCTGAAAGTACTTCGCTCTAATGTCAAGACACCACCTGCCAGTTAGGAGCTTTGGAGTGGGGTCTCCGTGGTCTTTGGAGAAGAAAGTCCTGAGCTATCAGAGTGCGAGAGGAAAATTAGATCACCTATAGGGCCTCTTTCATAAATGGAGAAACTGAGGCCCGGAGAGGCAGTGACTTGCCTTAGTCATGATGAATTAGGGGCAGAGTGTGGCCTAGAACTGGGGTCAATGAGTGTCCAGTTCTCAGCAGGGAAGCCTTACTATGCCCCAAAGTAGGTCAAATCCTGCTTACTAAGTGACTTTTCAGTAGTGTACTTACTTGCCATGGGATGGTTCATACTCTATACTTGTTTGCATGCTTATTTGAATAATTTGTTAAGTTCTTCCGTGTGGGCACAGATTGTGTCTGGTTTTGCTCGTTATATCCTCTGTACCTAGTACTACCTGACACTGTATTTTTTAAAAATAAACAAATGAGTAGTGTTGTCAGATGTTACCCATTCCAGCCTGTCTGTCTAGCCATCTAGCCAGGCACTTTCCAAAATCACGGCTGATCATGCTATTTGCCCACTGGACAGCCTACAATGGCTCCTCTTCATCTACACCCACAAAATAAGACCCAGCGTCTTCATTCTGACACTCCAGGCCCTTCACAATTTCTCCCAAACTCACTTTTCCAATTTTTACAACCACATTTTACAACAATGTTTACAACTCCTGTCTGTCTTCCACTCTGTAATCCTATGTTCAGTTCCACCGTTCAGCACTCTTGCTCTGGAGTGAGGATCTTGATTCTACCACTTTCTAACTGTATGTCCTTGGGCAAGTTATTTAAACTCTCTGGCTCTCAGTTTCCTCAGCTGTCAGAAACAAATGTGTAGAGATTTGAAAAACGAGCTTATTGTGTCTGCTTATTCCCAGATTTATGCTCAAAACACTCCTTTCACTGGATCAGCAGCCCTCCCATCTCCAGTCCTTCAAAGCTCAGTTCCAATCCAATTGTCCACCTAATTCTCCCACATTCCCCCCAGCTCCAGAGTTAGCCACCCTCTTGCCTGTGTCCGTTTGCACTTGGACTGTCATTGTGCGGTATTCCAGCCCGCCTTGTAGTAAGAGTTCTCTTTGATATTTTTCCTCAAACCCATTCCTCTCCATCTCAGAAAGTCCACCCAGTCTCTCAGGCCAAAAAAATCCTAGGAGCATCCTTGTGTGGCCTCCCTTTCTCCACGCACTCTCCCACCTCCATTTGCTTGAGTTCAAAAATAGACCCACATCGGGCTGGCCGAGTGGTGCGATGGTTAAGAGCTGGCTTGGGACGCCAGAGGGCCCCGGTTCGGATCCCACATATGAGGGCCAGTGACACTGCCCTCCACAGCCAAGATGCTGAACAACAGCTCAACCTGGAGCTGGGCTGCTGTGAGTTGCTGGCGACGGCATAGGCTGCAGCCCCTGTGGCAGTGGGTTGCCATGGGCTACCGTATGTAGCCAGCAGCCAGCATGAGCGGCCAGCAGCCGCAGTGAGCGGCCGTCCAGAAGCCGGCGACTGATCTGCCTCGCCCGGGAAGAGCACAATGATGGTGCCTACTTGGGCCAGTGAAGCAATGTCCTCCACAACTAGACTGAAGAACAAAAGGACAGCAACTTGTCTGTTCCCCTTCCCCCAATTCCCCAGCACTGTTCCCATCCACCCAATTCCCCCATAAAAATCTTAAAAAAAAAAATAGACCCACATCTGCTCTTTTCTCCCTGTTTGCACTATCACCCTAGTACATGACACTATCATCTGTGGCCTGGATCATTACAATAGCCTCCCTGCTTTCGCTGTTTCCCCCATGCTCCATTCTTCATAAAGCAGCCAGAGTGATTGTCTTAAATGTAAATCAGATAATATCACTCCTAGATAAAGTCCTCTAGAGGCTTCCCATAACTCTTATGATAAAATTTAAATGCATCCTTATGACCTTCATGGCCCTATATGACCAAGACCCTGCCTGCAGCTCCAGCCTCACTTCCTACCACTGCTGTCCTCAGTTCACGCCAGCCATGCTGACCTGATCTCCACCCCTGGAACATACCAAGCTCACCCCCACCTCCAGACTTTTGGATTAGCTCTTTGCTGTCTGGAATGCTCTTCCCTTGGCTCTTCACTGGCTGGTTCCTCCTTGCCATCCAGGTCTCAATTCAGATGTCTCCTCCTTGGGGGGACATTCCTTGACACCACATCTAAAGTAGCATTGCTTGCCCTCCATTCTTGTTATCTACTATAGCACTATATCTTATTTTTTTCATAATACTTGTCACTACTTGAATTGTCCTCTTTAAAGTTTACCTGTATATTGTAGGGTTGTCTTTTTCTTATTCATCCCTCTATCCCCAATACCTAGACCAGTACCTGGCATGAATTCAGTTAATGTTAGTAGTAGTTGTTGTTGTTGTTATGTATTGAATGCTTACTAGGTGCCAGATGTGCTAAGTACAATGCGTTGTTTCATTTTCCCACAATCCTTTGAGAAGATACTGTTACCTATTTATAATGAGGAGCTGAGGCTGAGAGAGGCTACGTGACTTTCCTACTATCAAAAGGACTTGGAGAGGGGCAGCCGGTTGGCTCCATTGGTTAGAGCACAGTGCTCATAACACCAAGGTTGCTGGCTCTGTCCCCACATGGGCCACTGACTGGTGCCCTCCACAACTAGATTGAAACAACTATTTGACTTGGAGCTGATTAGTCCTGGAAAAACACACTATTCCCCCAAAGATATGGCGAAGTCAGGATTTGAACCCATGTCCACAACCTTTTTAACTACTCAGTTCTTAGTATTCAGTAGATCTTGTCTTCTTTGCTTTTGTAAATCACCCTCCCCAAACAAAAAAATAGGTGGACTCGAATTGGAAAATCTCAGAAAGGGAGAGGTCCTGCAGTCTGGGCTGAAGGTCAAGGATATTCGCTGGCAGCAAGAGTAGTGACACCTGGCCTGCAAACTGGGATAATATGACACATACTCGTTTTATTCCACAATCATATTAACCTATTGAGTTCCCACCACTTGCCAGTTTCTGTCTACGTGCTGAGGATTAAACTCTTATGAGCACTTCATGCCCCAACCCACTCTGCCCATCAAAAGACTCTTAGGAGAATAGTCTGTTGGATGTCTGTACTATTGGGGGCAGAGATCCAACTCATCTCTCAGGTCATCAGAGACCAACTCCAGGGCTGTGCCTCTGAGGAACTGCAGCTGGCCCAGGTGTGTTTATTTTGGAGTGGGCTGGATAAAAGGGAGATGAGGATCTTTCAAAGACTGAAAAACAATTAACTCATTTCCAAAACTTCAACTACCTGAAGCAGACAGAGGTGGGTGGGGAGATTCCTGTTATTGTTTCAGCTTTAGCCAAAGAAGGAAACTTGGATTCCAGCCCTTTTAGAGCACAGAGCACTTCCTCGAGTTCATGGAACCCTGCGGTTGACCCAGTAGAGGTGAGGCAGAGCTTGGTAATGGAAGGCTCATCCACTGGAAAATATCACCTCCCCTAGAGACACATTCCCCACAGGCACCCTGGCGCAGCACCAAGCTCCAGTATTGCTTACTGAGAAGGAAGATCAACACTCACCTAATTATTATGGAATTAATTCTGATTCCAGCTAGAGCCAGTTCAAAATTTAAATTCCAATTGGATGTGGAGCAGAGTGTGATCTGCAGCTTTCCACAGAACCAACAGAAGAATGAGAACAGCAGACACTGCAATTTGGCCACACTCCCCTTCCATTAAGGAATCATATGGTGAGTGCATTGATATGCTCTATTCCAACAAACGATTCAGGACAACAACAAGAAGATGTAGTCTGGTAAGATGTTAACAGACCACATGGGAAGAAGAGCCTAAGTAGATTCTGTTGAATTCTGGTGACAAAAAGGAAGATTTAAATTCCAGAAGGCATGGCATTTTGGGATTGTTCTCTGCAGAATAAATATGCAGCAGCCTTTTCTCCATCTTAATAGAGTAGAGGGTTCCTCAAATTTAAGGACCCTCCAGTCCATTCTTGACACTGTCACCAATGAACTCCCCATCAGGCAAACCTGGCTCGACGCACCCACGAAGAGAACCGTTGCTTCTCCCTGTCTCCCCTGCTCACACCCCGCATTCCAGCCACCCTGCACTGCTTCTCGTCATTCAGCAGGCCGTGCTCAATTGTGTCTGGGCCTTGGCACGTGCTCTTCCCTCTGCCTACATCCATCTCTGTCGAGACAGTTAGGTCCCTCAGCTCTGTGCTCCCCTGGTGCCTGGTACGGCCCCATCATCCCACTTTATTGTAATTGCTTGTTGAACTGGCTGCTCTCCCCATAGACTCTGTGGGGGCAGGAACCATATCTGGCTAGTTTGCCTCTGAATCCCCAGAGCCTAGTACAGTTCCTAGCACAAAGTAGAAAGAGGAAATGGACTCATCAAGTTAGACTTTGCCAATCTGAGTGATCTGTTGCCTTAAAAGCCTGGAATACACTAAGAAATGAAGACAGAAGACTAACAGGGCAGGAATGTGAGAGAGCTGCCTAAAAGAAGCGGAAAGCCTCTGCCCCTCCTTTATTTCCCTTCAGCTTGCCCAGTCCCTGAACTT